GCGAGCGGACTCCAGGCTCCGGCCCGCGCCCCGACGGGAACCTCAGTAAGTAAGACGTTCTCCCCAACCGGGTCGGCGGCTCCGCCCGCCGCAGCCCGCCGCGTCTGACAGCTGCGGGGACCCGGGGCCGTCAGCTGGTGTTCGTTAGGAGAATTAGAGTGGTTTCTTCTCCATCTACCAAATCCCTTCTCGTTTTCCTCCTTTTAACCTCAGTCTTTCCACCAGATGAGCTTTAGCGGGAAAGAAAGCCAAGTTTGGGTCACTATTACTCGTTTTGCTTCATAATCCTGTCCTTATTTGCTCGCAGCTAACAGCCCATTCTATGGAGTTTGCAGTCCCACTACCATGGTGATACCAGTTGATGTGAATGGGAGCTCTCAGTTGCCTTCAGAAATACTATAGGGTGCTTCTGACGGGCTGTTGCCTTTGTTTTCACGCTTTTGTAGTTGTAAACAGTTTAACTTGCAGAGTGTGTTCGAGGGCCTGGGCGTCGATGTTATTGTAATTTTTGGTGTGTTGTATTTACCAAGGCTTCGAGGAAAAAAAAACCCAGGTAAACAAGTGCATTCTGATTTGCACAAGAAAGCTCGTTTAAAGTACAAATCCAGCAGGAAAAGAATAACAAAAATTACTGCTGGAGAGCGTGTGTGCTGATCTAGAGGGGTGTTCTGGTCTTTGGTCTTAATTCCTAGCAAAAACATTCTTGGATGCAAATGTAGACTTACTGCCGGACGGCTAACCCAGACAATTAAAAAAGAAAAAAAAGCTGCATTTTAAACTTTGACTCTAAAAAGAAGTTTGTTTGGGTTGCCCAGGATGGAGGAGCCTGTTCATTTTTTATTTCTGTCTCGACTCTTACTTACAAAGTTCCCAGATGAGTCGAGACCCTGCATTGTGAAATCAGTGGAGAAGTGGTTCTCAACCAGTGAGGTTGACTTTAGTCATTTTAAAATCTGTGTACCCATTTTTCATTTTTGGGGGAATCCATGATCACTGGTTTTTCACGTTAATTTATTTTAAATAAATCAAGCTTCACCTTGGCATAAATGTGTAGATTATAATTGGTGTGCTGTAACTTTGATATATAGTAAAAGCAAAGTAGCAAAAATTTTGTTAGAATGTGGAAAGTAAATCCCATTTTTAAAAGTGGTTTTTAGTTTTTAGCTTTAATTATTTAAAGAAAAAATTTAAAAATCTATATGATGAAAACTGTGTTTCATTGCTGTCTCTTTTTTTGTAAAGATAAATTCCAAGTTAATTTATACAGATAATTTGGGATGCTAAGGGAAGGGAAAGTTTGCTTTTCCAATGGACTATTTTCCATTAAAATTGAATAAACAGAAAACTTAGAAATGTCTTAATGTTTCCTGTAACTTCCAGAAGTTGTTCTGTGCTGTTAAGATGTATTATTCCAGTAAAATAATACTGGTTTGTTTGTTTACATGAGCACATTATACACACATAAAGGAAGATATAAAACTTAATTGCTAAAACTTAACTACAATTTTTATGAAATTTCATTAGGAATCTGTTAGGAATAACATGCACATCCTTGAGATTTTAGATTGCCGCTAGAAAGCACATCGTAGGTTTAATCATGTTCGTGCCAACACCTATTAGAAGGGTGTTAGTAGGTCTCTGACCTACCAGGATTTTAGATCCATGGTTAGCAATTTTAGGATTTTAGATGCATATATAAATTTTTAGATCCATAAATTTTTTAGATCCGTGATCTAAAAAATTTATGGATCTAAAAATTTATATATGCATCTAAAAGCGTGGTTAGTAATTATCTGTTTGCATCTTTGAAGACTTACTTCTGTTGGATTGACTTTCAAGTACTTGAATTCATGTGAGAAAATATTTCCATGGCAGCAAACAAGGCCGCAT